ATGAATTCATTGAACTCATTACTAGTGAACAATTATCTCCAGAGCAAATTTACAACACTGATGAAACTGGTCTTTTCTTGCAATATTACAGAGAAATACCTTGGCAACCTCTACAGAAAAGGTTCCAACTGGTGTCAAAGATTCCAAAGGGAGACTAACAATTTTAGTGTGCGCAAATGCTGCAGGAACGCACAAGTGCAAACTTTTCGTAATCGGAAAACATGCACGACCTCGAACATCTAAAGGAGTAACGATTTTCCCCGTTATATATCGCGCAGATAAAAGAACATGGATGACACAAGCATTGATGAATGATTGGTTTGAAAATAATCTTATACCCGAGGCTCAGCAGCATTTGAATTTGGTTGGTTTACCGGACAACTCAAAAATAGTCCTGATTGTAGACAACTGTTCGGCTCATATTTCAGTTAAAGTTTTAGTGAAAGATAATGTATCCGTATTAGTCTTCCCTCCAAATTGTACGTCCATCATTTAGCCTATGGATATCGGAAGAGTGCGCATGCTGAAATGCAAATATAAAGTAACATTTTTAAAATTTATGTTAAATTTCTTGAAAAATGGCAAGGCTATTCAAGAATTTTTGAAATATTTTAGCATAAAATCTGCTGTGTGAAGCATCGCAAGATTGTTTGAGGATGTGTCTCCAGATACGTTAAAGTATGCTTGGCATAATTTATAGCTTGCTACGATATTTCATGATTAGGACAATGAAGATGATAGCCGCGAATTTGAAGGTTTTCGGATATCGCAAACTAAAAGTGAAATTTTCCAGTTATTGGATTTTGTAAAAAAATGCAGAGAAGCGATAATAAATGAAGATGATATAACAGAAGTTTTTTATTGCGATGACAATGCTCCAATCATTAATCAATTAACGGACGGAGAAATCTGTAGTAGGGTTCTAGATCCAGAAAATACTGCTACCGATAGTGAAGAAAGTGGCAGAGAGGTTACTGAACACAAAAACATTTTGATTGCAAGTTAGTCAGTATTCTCGACACAGCAATTACAGGACTTGAATAGTGGAACTTTGTAACTAAACAAGAAATTATGTCTGCTTATAGAATTAAAGAGAAAATATTAGCAGAAAAAACGAATCAACTTGAACAACTTACATTGAAAGAAATGTTTTATAAAGTAAACAAATAAATATTAAGCTTGCTTTTTGTAAAATTTGATACACTCTAGATCATAATTGCTTTTTATTTCATAAATTACGGTTTCATATTTTTAATTGTATAATTTCTGCATGCCATCTGACCAGATTTACCATATTTACGCGAATCTAATGCGCATCATTTTTGGCCAAATGTAGTACTCAAAATTGGGGTGCGCATTAGATTCGAGTGCAAAGTTCGCCGATGACGTCAACAGAATTTAAATCGTAACAATGGATTACTGTATTTCTCGACTACATTTACCGTTACATTTATCGTTGACACATTATTGCATACTGCAGAGTACGTAGTCACGAAATGGAGGGCAAGCAGAGAAGAATGTCATATGACGCTACTTTCAAAACGTAAAGTAATTCTTTATCCTGAAAGAAATGGCAATAGAAAGGCTGGGAGAGAGTTTTAACGTAGCTGAGAGCAATGTTTCGCTTGTGGCGGCAACAGAATTGGCACTGTTTGCAACTAAAACTAGTAGATAAGAAATTCACTGGCCCTTGCAAGGAAGGACACAACCCCAAAATTGAAAAAAGTTTTTGGAATTTGTACGTGAAAGGAGGAAGAATGGACAACCCTGTGACTAGCGACACTATAAGAAATAAAGCAAAAGAAGGAGGCTGAAGTTCTTGGAATACTGAAACGAGAGTTTAAAGCTAGCCGTCGATGGGTGGATCGGTTTTTATGAAGCGGATGGGCTTATTTCTAAGACGCCGTACAACAATATGCCAAAAGCTTCCTGCAGATTTTGAGGGAAAACTACTAACATTTTAGCGGTATGTCATCACACTTCGGAAGGAAAAGAATTTTTCAATGGGGCAAATTGGCAACGCTGACGAGATGCCAATTTGGTTTGATATGCCTCGTAACTACACCATTATGGAGAAGGGGACTAAAAAAGTTATCAAAATAGTGAATAAAGACGTTTACTATTAACCACTGATTGTAGAAACTGTTAGCTAGATAGAAATGTTACCATTTATTTCATGTTCATACTTTACGATATGTACCGTATATACGGTAGTGGTAATTAACAATGATTGTTTCACATAACAATAGCCCACTAATAGGTTAATTCTATGTTCTGTTACTTTATGTATAAATCCATTGTTGTATAAAATATGGTATCTAAATTTAAATAAAATTATCATACCATTGATTGATAGTTTATATACAAATCCATTGTTGTATAAAATAAGATTCAATAAATTCCTCATACCATTGATGCACATTACATTCGCCGACAAACAATTTTTTTATTATTTAAAGTTTTAAAATGGGGATGCGCATTAGATTCGCATAAATATGGTAAATTGATGATCCGGAAAAATCCCGAATCGCTGAAGTCCTGACGAGTCCAGATTTCGGACTTTGTACTGTACTTCATTAATATGTTTTGCATAACGTTTGAGAGTTGCTTAAAATTCGTATTTTGTTAACTTTTCACTATTTTTATTTAATTAAGCTATATATATTTCACATAGAATTTGAGTATATTATTACTTATATATTAAAATTCACATATACTTTGTATTTCTTGGTTTTTGTACATGTATTTTAAAATATAACTTTTATTCGAATGTGTATATCTTAAATTGAAATTTTGCGATCAACCCCTTTTGTATCGTAACTGTGTCACTGGGGGAATACTCTGTGGCAGTTGTTAGAACCAAGCTTCAGTTGCTATTTTTCTCTTATAGTTTGTCACTGTAAGAGTGGCAAACATCTGATCTTTGTTGTAGTTCTACGAATTTTGAAAATAAATATGACGCTTTGAAATATTAGATGTAAAGTTATTTTATTTTAAGCTTATTAGGAGAAAGGAGAACGGTTAGTTCTTGCAAATCTCGAACAATTTGGTGACGACGAACGATATCGGTAAAACAAGTCAAGGTATTTTTATTGGTTTTATCGAATTTAATTTTGTTTGACTTTATATTGCATTTATTTTTATTGAAATGGAATCGTTAATTGAGAAACAAAAACCTGTCAGCGCATCTTTTACAAAAACAATTCCGTATTTGACGGCATATAAGACACACTTTTTTTCCTAAATTTGGTCTCAAAATAGTTACCTGCATCTTATACGTGAAGGACACAGGTTAACTTTCAATACTGAATGCTATTTTTAGCCCGGATAAAGGTCTAGATATACATAACGTTTTCTTCAGCTGCCATAATTATTTTGTGCATGCGTGAAATATCTGTCGCCAAAAAGGGCCAAAGCTCGAAGCTGATGTCGAAGTTCGAACAGGTTCGACAGTCACATTACTTCTATGGAGCCTTTCCTTCTTGACATAGACTTTCTTTGACTCGGCCGACACACATATCGTTAACGGTGCTACTCTGTATAAACGTGTCGGTATCAGTGCTTAAAACCATTTGTTTTAAAAAAATACCCTGGAAAATATGACTACAGGAAACAAGAGATTAAGCTATTCCAAATTCAGTATAAAGAAAGGAGTATTAAACTACGCCAAAGTGCATGGAAACAGAGCAGCAGCAGCAAGGCATTTCGGTCCACCACCTACCGAAAAAATCATACGTACTTGGCGACTGCAGGAAGATCAAAGTGAAGACTGCTAAAAAACAAAAACACAAAAACATAACCTTTGATGCCCAGCTCCATCTTGGCCTGAACTTGAAAATGCCGTAAAAATGTGGTTGTTAGATAAGAGGAAATCTGGGATAAGTGTTTCCACCAAAATGATAATCAATGAGGCCAAAGGATTTGCAGAAAAACATGGTAATCAGAACTTTTCATGGTCTGAGGGCTGGTGCTACAGGTTCATGAAAAGGCAAGGCTTATCAATGCGCACAAAAACAACTACTGCACAGAAAATGCCAGCTAGCATTTCATAGGTATGTTATAAATGCATGCAAGAAAACTTCGTTTGATCTCAGTCAAACAGGAAATACGGATGAAATTCCACTCACATTTGATGTCATCCAACAAGACTGTGAGTATGAAAGGTCTAAATCAGTAACCATAAAAACCACAGGTCATGAAAAAAAGAAAAAAACCGATATACGGTAGTTCTAACATGTTGTGCTGATGGCACAAAACTACCGCCGTTTTTCATATTCAAAAGAAAAACTCATCCGAAAGAAAAACTTCCAAAGGGTGTAATTGTTCCTGTTCATTCGAAAAGCTGGATGGACAAAACTGGAATGAAACTGTGGTTACAGAATGTATGGGCAAGGCAACCTAGTGGACTCTTAAGAAAACCCTCTCTTTTGGTTTTGGATCAGTTTAGCACCCACAGAACTGAAACCATGAAGAAAAAGCGAGAGAATTAAAAACCCAGATCGCTGTCATTCCTGGTGGACTGACTAGCCAATTGCAGCCTTTAGATGCATCGGTGAATAAGCCATTTAAGGAAAATGTGTGAGAACGATGGAACAAGTGGATAGGAGAGCCACATCACGCCCTCACACCCTCAGGTAGAATGAAGCGGCCCTCTATTTCACAAGTCTACGACTCATACACATTGCCCTTAGCTCGAGTACAAAGATGTTCAAATATCTGAGTAGAAGTTCTTTTGTCTTAATGAATAGGCATGTTAATATATAGTTTTGTTGATGAATAGATGTGTTTATACAGTTGTATTTTAGCGTCTTTGAAGATTAACAACTGAGCCATAACCTTCACCCACCATAATTTCATTTGATTCAATCACATCTAATATTAAGTGTTTCTAAATTAGGATTTTTAGTTTTTTTTCTATCTAAATATTCACAGTGGTAGTTTTTAAGTATCTTTTCAATAAAAATACTAATAAAACTAACAGGAAAAAATTGTATACTTACCTCAAAAAACTTGAAAGCATCACTGTTTTTCAGACGCTTTACATAATCACTTAACAGCCTAAATAGATGTGATGATAACATCTTTAAAAATTCATGGTATTTATGTTTTACTGCTAACCAAGCAAAAAATACATTGTTGACAAGAGCTGAACGAAGATCCGTTAACATTCCTGGTGAATGATCATTGGGATCTTCATACAATTGTCGAGTTATTATATAGTCCAAAACAGCATCACCTAAAAATTCAAGTCTTTGATAGCAATCAGTTATTTCATTATATACATACGAAGGATGAGTAAAAGCTTGCAAAAGATAAGCCTTATTTTTAAATGTATAATTAATAATTTTTTCAAATCTGTTGAAACCACTAGTGAGATGAGACAGAGACTGATTAATTAAATCACTTTCCTTAGCAATAATTGGATCAGGAGGAACAGGAGGCCATGACTCAAAATCATGGTTACAGATAGAACTGTTTTTAAGTAAAGGATTTAATCCTAACCAGTACATGAATCGAAGTGCACCTTGCTGACCACAAGATAGTAAGTAAACTCCAATCAATGCTTCAACAGAATCTGCAGTACATTTATCTGAAATGATCTGCTCAGTAAAATGCTGATATTTTGCAGGTGCATTTTTATCATCTTCATCACATTTAGCTTTCTGACTAGATGATTTTTTCGTAATTACTTCATTAACAATATGACAAGGTGGCAACCATGTAGTATTACAACTGAAACAAGTACATATCATATATTCAGGTAACTTTTTTTTCTTGGCTACTTGATATAAGTGAAGATTCTGAATAAGGCCACTTCTCAATTTGGATAGCTTTCCTTCGTCAAAATTAGAGTACTTATTGTACGTTTTCACAGACATAACATATTTTAGAAAAGAATCACCAATCATTTCTAAGCGTTCTAAATCAAATTCATCACCAGCACTTTTCGATGTTAAAGCTTGCAAGATTAAGCTAGGTTCAGGTCCAGGATGATCAGATAATTTAACTTTTACTTCAAAACTAGAAATTTTTTCACCAATTTTGATTACATCTTTAGGTTTTGTGACATTTCTGACACAAGCTTTGATATGACCATTCTTATACAACTTTTCTTTCAGTGCTTTATCACTTGTTTCTAAATTGAATTCTGGCCAAACATGAGTGGGTTTTAAATGTAATGAGCCAATAAATCCCTGAGAAGCAACATTCTGCCTGATTTCTTCAGCAAGTAAAAGAGAGTGCAACCTAAATAATATAGTTGGTAAGCAAGAAACTTTACTAAAAAATTGTGATGGGAATGGATGTATTATACACAATTCAGGAACTAAGTATTCATGATAATTCATATGCTTTTGCTTAGTTTTGCTTAAGACAGACATATTTTCAAAAGTTTCTTTTACAGAAATATATATTGGCTTCCAACAATGAAGAACATCACTTTGCACAGTTTCTACTAATGGTTGCTTATCATTTAGTATTTCCAAATTATATTTTCTTTTATAGTAGTCATTGAATACCTCTGAATTCATTCTGCTTTGTGGTGACATATCATACAAAATATGTATAACATGATGAAAAGTTGGGCGAGTGTTTTCCCATTCATGCATCTTGTAAGAACGCATCAAAACTGATGATTCAAATAACTTTTCATCAAATTGAGTTCTTGTTATGGTTGATGTCTTTTGTTTTATGTCATTATAAGGATGAACTTTAGTGGCATCAATAAAAGGCCAGTCAATGTAATAATTCTCTGCATGATCTAAATGAAAGACAGTTAAAAAAATATCATTATAAAACTGAAGAAACGAAAGACAAATTAAAAAGCTATATACAATCTGTCATTACAAAGTAATTTTCAAAAGTGAAATTTCATATAGAGATAATATATAATCCTCAATATAATGAGTAGGGTATTGGTGTATTTAATTATGGCAAAGCACACGAGGGCTATCTGCCTAAGGGGAGGGATGCCTTTGTGGAGGACTTTCTAAGGGAAACTGGCTTGTATACACGTTACAAAAGGGGAAAACCACAAAAACGCCCATGCAGCCAGCCCGTTCGCGGGATTCGAACCTCGGACCGAACTACCAGTGTTCAGCGCCTTTACCGCTCGGCCGCTGGTGGGCCTCCAATATAATGAGTAATAAAAACAAAAAGTTTTCAGCACACAGTGGGGGATATTTTTTAATGAGACATATTTAAATATCATTTAACTGCATGTGTCAGAGCAACACTATTATAAGATACTATTCTGTAGCAAAATCCTCTCAGTGAAATTGAAAGCATTCAGTATTTTCAATTTAATTCAAACCATGTTTATATCAAAACTGACACTATAAATACCGTACTTTCTACCATTCTTTAGAAGTAATTAGGTTTATATGGCAAAAACTATTTTCAAGCAAAAAATAACTATCATGAGTATAATTTCTGAAGTAATGCATCACCTGCAATATTAATTTTTACTTAACTTACCTTTTATTACATTTATCTATTTCTTATTAGTAAAATAAAGCATTTAATAATGCAATATCCGTGCTCTCCTCATGTTTTGAAAGTAAATTCTACAAATTTGGCAACCAACCGTGGCGCAAATTCAACGAACTGCAAGTCGAAAGTGTGCAAATAGTATTCTGAACTGTATTGAATGACTGTGAATTTAGTGAACTGTTCTTACAAGTTGTTGGATTTATTGGATTACTGTTTAAGCATTTTGGATTACCAAATGAAGACAATCATCTGTCGGGTGAGCACAAAACTTTCTTTCCAATATGAAGTTAGTAGAAATTCCAGAATTGGAAGCAGCTTTAAAAAACAGTAAAAGTTTTTAAATCAAAAGTTTGCATAAGCTTATTTTTAATACTAGACCGAAACAACCGGAAAAGATTACGTGAATTTTCTGGCTTTATATTTAAACCAGATACTGAAGAATTTAATAAGAAAATAGATACAGTGCAGAATAGTTTTTCTTTGAATGAGTTAATTAAAGTTTGTAATGTACTATGCATAAATTCAGAGGGATCAAAAAGAGAAGTAGTAACCCGAATTGTCTCTTTCCTATGTGATTTATCTGTATTATTTGAATATATTTTGCATGAAGAAATTAGTGATATCAAAGATGAAACTGTTAATAAAATTGCTGAAGTAATGCTTGATGATAATCAAAGAGACAATCCTGGTTTTAATGAGTCTCTAGTAAATAACAGTATGCAGCTTCCAATTCAAGATCATTTTAAACCTCATCTTAGTTTTTTGGATATTGAAAGTACTGTTAATCCTTTTTCATAATGCATATGTAATTTTCATGCAATGCATATGAAAATGTTGATAAATGGATTGATGAATTTGAAGATGTCATAAATTCTTTGAAATTGAGTGATTTGCATAAATTAGTTTTTGCTAAAAGATCATTAAAAGGTAAAGCGAAACTATTTATTCAGAGTGAACCTAAAGTTAATGACTGGTGTAAGTTAAAAAAGCTTTTGAAATTTGAATTTGGTAAAGCTTTTAATTCTGCTGAATTGCATGAAATGTTATGTAAGCGTAAATTAATGCCTAATGAATCTTTAGATGAGTATTTTTTGAAAATGAAAGAAATGTGTTCCCGAGGTAACATTGAAGATGCTTCATTAATTAAATATGTCATAGATGGTATTCCCGATTCTGTGGTGAGGAAAACTATACTATATGGTTGCGAAACAATATCTGAATTTAAACAAAGGCTAAAAATTTATGATAAAATGAGATCGGACAATGATAAGTTTAAAAATCCGAAACCGAAAGTAGACACTCAAGATAGAAGTAAGCCGGCATCATCAAACCGAAATCAATCTAACTGTCAAATGTTTTAATTGCCAAATTTGGGCATAAAAGTCTCATTGTATAAACAAATCGAATGGGATAAAATATTTTAAATGTAAAAAGTTTGAGCATAAATTAACTAACTGTCAAAACCAGAGCCCCGAGAAACAAGCAGCTTTAGTACAGTGAATTTCTAATAATAATAGAATTATGAAGACTGTAGAAATAAATAATCATTTAGTTGATAGTCTAGTTCACACTGGTTCACATGTTACAATATGCAGTGTAGAATTACATAAGCAAATTGGCTCTCCAAATTTGAATCTTAGCGATATCACATTAAAAGGAATTGAATCAAAGCAAACGTATCCCATTGGCTTTTTTATTTCTGATATTTTAATTGATTGTTTTTCACTTCGTACGAAAATTTATGTTGTTAAGTCATTATGTAATCAAATTGTAATAGGTTTGGATGTAATGAATCAGTTTAACTTCTCCTTTACCGAGAATGGCCTTCAAATAATTTCTCATCGGAATAAAAGTAATGTAAACTTGATAACTGCTGAGTCATCTCGAAATGCTAACGTTCGTTGCGTTATGGGAAATTTGAATATTGCTGTGTCATTGAAGAATGTTTATGATCTTTCGCAATCGCCTGGCGTCTCTGTTAATCTAAACAAAAGTCCCGAAAGCGGAAGTAGCTCGACGTTTAATTACCTTTCCTTTCACATCTGGTGAATGCTATTTCTGTCAACGAGATTGATTTATCGCATATTTTGAATGTGGAACATAAAGAAAGACTGTGTAAATTAATTAATTCGTACCAACCTCGGAAAAATAGACAATCTGACTTTAAGATGCAAATAAATTTATGCGATGATATTCCTGTCTGTCAAAATAGAAGATACATGTCTTTCGCGGAACAAAAAATTGTTGACGATCAAATTATAGGAATGGTTGAAAGAGGGCATAATAAAGCCTAGCAATTCTAATTATTCGGCGCCTATTGTTTTGTGTAAAAAAAGCGATTTTTCGAAAAGTTTGCGCATTGATTATCGGAAATTAAATAAGAAGATTATTAAAGACAAATTTCCACTGCCTTTAATTTCGGAAGTACTTGATCGCTTAGAACAAGTCAAAGTCTTCACGACACTAGATTTGAAAAATGGCTTTTTCCATGTAGACATAGACGAAAATTGCACCAAATATACCGCATTTGTAACACATAATGGTATTTATGAATTTCTTAAAGCTCCTTTTGGTTTATGTATTAGTCCAAATATTTTCCAAAGGTATATTTATTCAATATTTCGTGACTTGCTAACTGACGGTGTACTAATTATTTATATGGATGATATTGTCATACCGGCTAATGATGAAGTTGAATGTTTAGACAAATTAGAAAGAGTATTCAAAACTGCTTCGGAATATGGATTACAAATAAATTTCAAAAAGTGCCAAACATGTAATTGAAAACGGAACTATTCGACCATCACCTTCCAAAACTGTTGCTCTTTTTAGGACTAACGGGATATTTTCATAAATTCATTCCTCATTATGCTAAAATAGCTAAATCTCTTAGTGACTTACTTAGAAAAGGTATTGGTTTTAAGTTCAATTCCGAACAACAGGAAGCTTTTTGCAGATTAAAAGAAATTTTCTCTCAAGCACCTATTCTACACATATTTAGACAAGGATATCCATTAGAACTTCATACTGATGCTAGTAGTCAAGGCTTAGTAGCTAGTAGGTGACTGATGCTAGTAGGTGCAGTACTACTTCCCATTGTCTGACGATGGTAATTTTCACCCAATCCAACATATGAGTAAGAAGACTTCACCGCAGCAAGAGAAACTCTGTAGTTACAAATTAGAAGCCCTTGCAGTTATAGAAGCTCTTAAGAAGTTTAGAAACTATTTGTTAGGGACTAAATTCAAAATTGTAACTGATTGTAGTGCTTTTCAGAAAACTTTAGAAAAGAAAGATTTAACTCCTAAGATTGCAAGATGGGCAATGTTTATTGAAGAATTCGATTACAAAATTGTACATCGTTCAGGAAGCCAAATGAAACATGCTGATGCTCTAAGTAGAAATGCTTTAATTTTAACATTAAAAATGTCCGATGTAACTGAGAAGATACAGTTAGCACAACAGAATGAAGATGAACATGTGAAATTGATCAAAAATTTAGTTGAGAAGGGAGAAGAAAATGGATTCTTCGTGAGAAATGATATTTTGTACAAATTTGGAAAATGGTAAAGATCTTCTAGTAGTGCCAGAATCCTTACAGAACGAAATCATACAGAAGGTACATAAAAAAGGTCACTTTGCTGTAGATAAAACTGTGAATGCTGTAGAGCAAGAATTCTATATTCCCAGACTGAAATGCAAAGTTGAAAAAGTAATTGCTAACTGTATAGAATGTATACTGTACAACAAGAAGCAAGGAAAAGCAGAAGGATTTTTCTTCATCCTGTACCGAAAGAAAACGTTCCTTTGAGTACGTATCATATCGACTTTATTGGACCTCTCTTCCATACCAACACATTTCTAACTGTTGTCGACGCTTTTACGAAATTTACTTGGTTCTATCCAGTGAAATCACCAACTACGCAAGAAGTTATTTCAAAATTGAAGCAACAACAGACTGTATTTGGAAATCCAGCCAGAATCATTTCAGATCGAGGTAGTGCCTTTACATCGAAAGAATTTTCAGCTTATTGTACTGAAGAAGGAATAGAACATGTTAAAATTACTACTGGTATTCCAAGTGGTAACGGACAGATTGAGCAAATTCATAAAATCTTGATTCCCGTTTTGTCAAAATTATCACATTTGGTGATTTCAACGAAATGGTTCAAGTATGTTCCAGATGTCCAGAGAATAATCAACAGTACAACTAAGAATCAACAGTACGAAATATTCACCGTTTGAGCTTCTCATAGGCACGAAAATGAA